AGTAGTCTGAATGTGCCACACTGACATAACTTTTAAAGATAAAATTAGGGAGTTTAAGAAAACTATTGAAATATATAGTACTGTGTGGATCTAAGTGGCGTGCTATGGGAGAGGCCTAGGTCCAGCAGTGGACTGCGATAGGCTGATGATGATGATGATTATGATAGTACTGTACCCGAGGCTTCTCACAAGATGCATAGGTATCATATATTTTCAATACAGATTGTATTTTATGACTTTTGTTCGCAATATAAATAAATAAAAGAAACATTTAAATTTCTATTTCGAAACGTGCTCGAAATAAATAGAAAAATCATATTGTTATAGAAAAGCTTAGGTCCCAAGCCTTTTTCAATTACTCCTATGAATACACAAAAATAAGAATAGCACTCTGAGGGACTCAACTCAACCCTCGATTGTTCAAAGATCCATTTTAATTATTTGTAGACTTGACATTTATAATTTGTTTACTGTAAAGCCTACAGTGGATCAAAATTTGTGTACAAAAATAATTAATAATAATTTCCACAAGTACGTTTCGAGTTAATAACAAAATCTTCTTAGTTTGCTAAACAATATTTTTGAAGCAACAGGGTTTTATTTATTCCTGCACTTGAGAACTTTCCTTTCAAAATTAAAGGTATTTGTAGAACATTAACTTATTGACGATCGTATGGCGTAGTGGTTGTTTAACGGACTGCCATTCCAAAGATCGCGGGTTCGATTCAAGTCAAATATTTGTGTGCATAAACATGTAATGTTTGATTTGGTCTGGGTGTTTCTATGTATAATACGTATGTATTTCCAAAAAGATAAGTATGTATGTATTTATATAAGTTGTGTAGTACCCATAGTACAAGCTATGTTTAGTTTGGGACTAGATGGCGTTGTGTGAATGTGGTAGAATATTATTTTTATTTAGATTTGAGAAGTATAGGTACCGGTAAAATTTCGTAAAACTGTTGGGTGTGCAAAAATCATTCTCACGGCCTGCCTCGAAGAACTGAAAGAAAAGAACATTATCACTTAGTTTTTCTTCACACGTTCTGCTAAAGAGATAATAATTCATATATTGGCCTTCCTTTTTTTCTCCACTATGAATTAATGATAAAGAAAACGTTCAATTTGCTGTTCGAGAACACTTTTGGATACCTAATGACCCAAAATAATAACCCGTGTCAAATCTAATGACAGTCTTGTACACGCGGAAATACTCTGTAAAAAATTACCCAGTGATGGCAGTGGTTTTTATTCTAGAATGCAGATAGAAATAATCAACAGAAATTTGGAGGCAAAATAATTGAATATTTGCCTGCAATATCACTGCCATATTGTTACATCGACGTGTTTCTTCTAAAAGGATTAACTTAAAAAATAAAAAGCCTAATATTACGTAAACACAATTTTTTTAACCTTTCTGCGCACAATGTCATGCGCTAATTTATGCCAAGGTTCAAATTTCTATTAAAATATTATTACATCTTCAAGAGCCTTTAAATAAGACACACTCAGCGTCAGTATTGCCCTCTAATGTCATATTTCAAATTCAGTTGATTCCCTTGTCACGTCTAATATGTAAATATTTAATATAAAACGAAAGTAAAAGGTTTTTTCCAGAAGAGCATATAAAAGTCGGTGTCACGTGTTTGACTCGCGTCACTTATGTCACTATTGACATTTGACATATTTGTGTCGTAATCGTCACTTGCATAGTTATGATTACGACACAAATACTAATAATGAAAATTATAACTTGACACATCTAACAAACGAACGCCTGATCCCAAATTAGTAAATGTCTATGCTGTGGCAACCAGACTGTTCATAAACATACTTATAGATTTATAAATTCATGGATATTTAAGATAAATAACACCTTGACACAGATCAAATGTGACTGTACGGATGGCGTAGTGGTTTAAGCGGTCGCCACGCGGTTCCCTACTGCGCTGAGTGTTGTGGGTTCGAACACCACATGGGATGCCACTTTCATGTATGTTTGTAAAGTCCCCCTCGACTCAGGATATATATTCCTAATGCGAGAGTTACCTTTTCAAAAAAGGAAAAAGAATGAAAATGAGCGTGCTCACCAAACAATTATTTGTCTTGACAACACGCAACTGAGAACATTAATTTCGACATCATGACATGTGTTCGATTCCCATCCAGAGGGGAAAATCGAACGCGCATTAGCTTGGCAGTCCGGATCGCTAACAACTAAACCAACAAGCCTGTAAAAAAACAGAGTGAAAGATATTTAATCAAAATATTGGACTGTTGAGAAAACCTAAAAATTAACGAACCAAAGGATAATGAAGGCATAGAAATACATTTCTAAGTACCATCATTTCATTAAAATATTTATGGAGCAGAGGAGAGGACGTGTCTGAGTATCAAACACCGATTAAATCTTTTAGATTACAATTTTAAAAGCATTTCTACCAACTTTTCAAGGTCTTTTTCAAGTATTTAACAACAGGAATCGTCTGGCCCCAATAATTTGCACTTCACCCAACTCCGTAGTGATTTATAATCGAAAGTAAATATTGAAGCATTAATATCACATTAATTTGTCATTTAGTACATTGCTTGTGCTGTTTACTCTTAATATTATGTAGTTTAATTTATTTAGTATTCATTGACATCATGACTCCACCAGACTTTAACAGTCCACTGCTGAACAAAGGCATCACCTTAAAAAGGAGGTTTCGATCACCACGCTGGCAAGACGGATATAGGGTTGGTTTCAAGTTTTTCTGCTCGTTGCAGCACTGTTATGCAAAGTTTGCTCTTTTAGTCGGCTCTTGCGACACCCATGGAATGAATAGGGATAGTAACACTCCGTATCCTTAATCCGTCACCACTACTTATACCACTCCAGTCTAATACCGTCCATTGCTGAACGAAGACCTCCCCTAAAGAGCGCCAACCATCCCGGTCTTGGGCAGTCCGCATCCATCCACTGCCAATGATTTCCTCAAGTCGTCGTCGGTTCATCATGCCGCAAGGCACCCTACACTACCTTAATTAGGGTAGTTTAATTGCTAGAGCATATGTTGGCTCCAGTGACCATCAGTGCACCTGAAGACATGGCCAGCCCACTTGCACTTCATCGTACTGATTCTCTGTGCGATGTCGGTTACTCTAGTCTCTGTCAAATACTTTCGTTTCGATTTTTATCGACTAGAGAAACACCAAGCATCGCACGCTCCATCGCCCGCTGAGCGACTTTGAACTTGTGGACCAATCAAATAGTCAGTGTCCGCGTCTCGGCAACATATGTATGTCATTACGGGTAGGTGACGAATCTTCCCATATGCCGCCCAGCCCAGACGAACTCTTCTATGAGCCAGTCGTTCGAAGTTGTGCCGGCCGAGTTAGATCGTTTGACAAAGATAGACGTATTCTTGTATAACCTCAATTGTAGCGCTATTTATCGCCACGGGACTGGAGGATAAATGTCTATTATATATGATCTTGGTCTTACCAATGTTCATATCACTCCGTCACCACACAGACATGTAATTAATTGCGTCATGTCAGGATTATAAGGCCTTAATTTACTCTCCGGTAGCATAATTAATATTAACAGTAGAGAGAGAAACGTTTTTCCTTCTTTTTGTTCATAGCCATATTTTAAATAAAGAAAGAAATGCAGAAATATAAAATGATATATTTTATGAAAATAAGTATTCTTACATTATATTATAAATGATAATTGAAGTTTATTTACTTGTTGATCACACCATCATCATCAACAGCCTTTAATAGCCAACTACTGAATATAGGCTTATCTTTAAAAAGAGGTTTTGGCCTACTATACCACGATGGCCAGACGGGTTGGTATAGGGTTTGTTTCAAGTTTTCCTTCTCATTGCAGTGCTGTTGTCTTGCTTAGTTATCTTAGTCGGCTCTTACGACACCCACGGGATGAATAGGGGTGGTGACACTCCGTATTCTTAATCCGTCACCACATAGAAAATTATATACTTGTTACGCTTTGATTTTTAAATACTCAACCGGTTGCTATGTTTTGTATACATGTTATTAAGATTAAAAAAACGGTTGGGTACCTTATTAAACTTATAAATAAGTTTACTTAAATTAAATAGAATCAATTTATTTTGTAAACGCAAAACATTTAACAGTTTAACACTTGGTCATGTATGATGTTAACAATCTAGAGACTGTCAGGCGCCCGACTTCCAATAGATGTAATAAATTTGAATAAAGTAAATAGATTTAAGAGAAATATTTTAAACTTTACTAAAATAAAAGGACTTAGAAAAATAATAGTTTAAAAAAACTAAAAAACACGCTTTTATAGGAAGGTTTTCTATAAAAAGCGTGTTTTTTAGTTTTTTTAAACTATTTTTTTTAAATTAGTGTATTGTCATCGGTCCTCGATATATCTACAAAGTTTGAACGAATTCTGACCGTTTAAAGTCAGTCAAAATCACGCCCAAAGGAGTCGGTTACAAACAAACATACAAACATACAAGTGAAGCTAATATAAAGCGTGTAAAAAGGAATAATAAGAAAAAATTGCTAAATTTTTAGCAGCACTTTCTGCCAATCAATAGAGATTTCCCTTGAGCAAAATATCAAAAATATCAATACATCATCAACACAGAGTGACTCGGATCATCGATTGTCTGAATATTTTCGATCAGATTGACTCGTCGGCGTTATATATAGATGTAATTTTACTCTGCATTCGTCATTGCTTGTATTGTGTGTAATGCTACGTGCAAATTGTCGTCTGCGGTATTTCAATCCATAAAAAAAATGCACTTATGACTGACTTATGAGCTGTAGGTGACGATCGGCGGTGGGAGTTACTTACCATCAGTTATCCTAGCTACTCGTTTGCCCTCTTAATGTGGTGACGTAACAGTGGCGGCAACCTCCTTGCAGTGCTTGCATTAAATGGAACGTTTAACAAATATGCCTTTATGATATAGCAAAATTTTAAGTAATATATTGTCTTTTGTCCACAGTATACGTATTCCTGGGTGAACACATAGCCCTGGTAGACTTTGTGAAGGTACTACAGAAACGTGGTCTGCTGACCAACGGCGAGTACGCCGTAGTCGCCGTCGATGATGAGATATACGACCCCAGTACAGCTGCCATCACACATGCTGGTAAGTCACTAATATTTTTTTTTTTTTTATGTCATTACCTTACTCAAAACAATGTAAACTATTAATTTTTACCGCTGCACGATGCAACCGTGAATTTTACATTTCGCCCCATCATCATTATTTTGTAACACAACATTCAATACGCGTCATTTCCAGTCATTTTAAATTAGTGCACGCTTTCACCCGAAGCACGGTAGACGCGTACTTACTATCTTTTCATTTATCTTCTATTTTAACTCTTTCTATCAAAATAATTTCTTTTCCTGTCGAACATTTGGTAACACCCCAAACAACCACTGTTTTAAGAAGTGCAGTGCAATATTTGTAACAAATCTTATAATTAAACACACTGCACGCGTCCTCTATACTCGTACAATATTGACCTATCATGGTACGTAGAGGTATACAATGACTCAAGTTACACTGGCCAATGAAATACTACGAAACAATTAAAACTGGAAGTCGTACGAAGGTCTTAACTCGATCCCCTGCCGAAATTGTACCGAATTGTTATTGTATTTGTAGTGACAAACTTAATGGTCATTTTTTTTTCTTAAAACAGATCACCTGGGGCAGAACAGCAGTAACGACATTTTGGCATTCAGAGCAGTTCTCAAGCTGACTCCTTCGTTTCCCACCAATCCACACTATGAGTAAGTCCTTAATAAAAACAATCCGCTAATTATTTTATGATTCAGTAAAAGTAGTAATAAAAATCTTTAAAACCATATTTATTCCTGTGCGGCCACCTACCCACTATATTACCCAGTTGATCCTACAGGAAAATTTAGATGTAATAAGGACAACATTTCCTTTAACCCTATACATATTTTCTTATATATATATTAATACATAATGATTAATTTAATGATAGTACGATTACCATGGCTAACATGGCTCGGTTGCCGATAATACGATAACACTACAACATAAGATTTTTTGTGTTTCTATAACCTTACATGTATTATACATTATGCACTAGTGTTTCTACCCGTATATGTTTTGCCAAGACTGACTACATATAAATTTCAACTACCTACTTTTATCATTTAATTTTAATAGGTATCACATGCTCTATGAATAGGTCTATATACTATCGATCTGTGCATCCAAATTTTGCCCGTAAGAGATTCTTCTATCTGGCCGTTATTTCTTATAAATTTATCTACATTATTCTTTTATAAAAACGTTTAAAAAAAAATATATTCTATTCTATGTAAGACCCAGTATGTGGGCTCTATGGTAAACAAATGAAAATCATTTAATTCAATCGATAAGCTACGTTCGTCCATTTGCTGCCTGAATTGCTTAGTGTAAGCCTTTAAGCCTGCGCCATTTTCCATTTCCTGTACTCGCGATAACTTAAATCAAAAGCACAATTTTATGTAGCAAATATTTCGAATTGAACCAACCGGGGTTTTCGATGGTTTTCAGGGAGAGCCGGAATCGATTTGACTAAAACCGCTGTTCTGTCATGACAATTTGAAGTAAATTCCTGTTGAAAAAACTTAACATTGCTGGTTAAAGAGTAGAAATCTTAAAAGTTATGCTCTAGTATTACAAAATTTCAGCGTTTTTCTTTGGAACCGTGTGGTATCACTGTGGTTAAGCGGGCCCATACCAAGTTTACAGCAAGTAATAGCTAGTAAAAATAAATTTTGTTACTAAATTTAACCATATAAAATGTATACATATATGTATGTCTTTATATGCCTATCCCGAAACCCAATATTATAAATAATGATTCGCAAGAAATTTGGTCAGAAATCCAGCGCACGACCTTAATCGCATTTAGATATCCACGCCAAATAGATTTTTAAACATTCTATAAAATAATGTTTTACATTTACGTTATAATTATGTTTATTTAGCTTGCCTTCAAATTAAGAGAAGTTGGCACTAAGTTTTTCTTTTTTGTAATATTTATTATTGTTACTGCACAATGAACACATAAGTCTCTGTCCAGATTGTATTATGCTTATTTCCCGAAGGTATAAACGAGGGTAGTGACATCTGACTTATAAACTTTTCTTCTATTTATTAATCCCTGACTTATAATGAAGATGTGTTACAAGTTTAACGTGTTTTATCTCTCTATTTCTCTATTACATAGGAATTAACCAATTTTGAATATTATTATTTTTTGTGGCTTAGTGGTTTCATAGAAAGTTTTCGGGTAAGAATGGAACCCACGACCTCTGAGTAAGCATTCAGAATCACTAATCACTAGAGTAACAGGCCAGTCATAAGAAGATCTCTTTAGGCGAATATCATCAGTTTTATTTAAAACTAGCTTTTGCAAGCAATTTCGCTCGCCTAAAGCCAAAAAGTATCCTATGTTAATCGCTGATGATGTAGCATGCCATTAGAGACTGAATTTTTAAACTCGGATTAGTGGTTTAGGCGTGAAAGCGTAACAAATAAACTTACCTTTTAATTTTTACTATAAGTGAAACGAATTGTAGATTTACTGTAGACGACCTGTATCAAGCAAGGCTAAACGCCATTCGCGTCGCCGAGCACTAGGCCAAAACTGTGTAGCGTTGCCATCGACACGTTAAGTAAGTAAGTACGGAACCTAGATTTAAGTTCATCAGAAATTAGAAATTCTAGAACTTGCGAATTTGTCTACATTTAAAAATAGGTTTCAGTTTCAGTTTTATTCTAATCACTGTCATGGGGAACTTCTCTCCTGTTGTGTATTCAGTTCTGAGTGTAAAACATTGTTACCAGTTATTCAGTTCATTCACCTCCACCCAGGAGGTGAATGAACTAGATAACTAGTTTGTCCCACTTACACACAGAAATAATAAGGGGCAGCTCAACAAAATATTGGATGAGATTGTGTGGTATTAGCTCGGAGAGATATCGGAAATAAGGACACTGAATAAACTACTTTAATAAAAAAAAAAAAAACTTTAATAAAACGACCTATATCAAAACTTTAACAAGAGAGAGATGAAAAATAATAATTTTGAAGGTCACTTTTGCAATTGTTAAAAATACATTCCATAAAGTTTTTTATTTCGTTTTCTACCGTTGCAACTATACGGTTGTAGAATGCGTTTCCTGCTATTTTCAGGCAATAAAAAGTCCTTTTTAAGATTGAACATTAGCTATGTGTGTCTCTATAGTGTCTCTATACACAAACGCGAAATTTAAAATTTCCAAAATGGGGACATTTTCAAAATCTTAAATACAAAGTTATGCTTTAAATTTAAATGTGAAAAAAACATGCACATCAATGACGTAGAAATAAAAAACATTAAAACCTCTTGTCTGATTTCTGCAATTAATATTTAAAATACAATAAAAGTAATTTTCGTGGGTCTCGTAAGAGATGACTAAGGGACAAACTACGCAGAACAACAACACAGAAAAGAAAAGGAAAACTTGACACAAACCCTATACTAGCCCGTCTGGCCAGCGTGTTATAGTAGGCCAAAACCTCCTTTCTAAGGAGATGCATAATAATATCCAGCAGTAGACCATTAAAAGCTGTTTATGTAAAAATGATTTTTCCACTGGTATTCAAAGTCCGAACAATAATTCATTATCTGTCGGATATACGATTATACGAGCTGAATGTAGGAAGCCAAAAATCGATCAGAGTGCAATGGGAGAGGCCTATGTCCAACAGTGGTCTGCGATAGGCTGATGATGATATGAATATGTAGGTCAAATAGGTCAAATATTTATAAATTTTTTACAAATAAAAGTAAAAAATTGTATTTCAGAAAAATACCACTAATAAGTCACACTGGCATCCAGCAAATTAAAATTTATTTCTGTTCATTTTACAATGTAATAAGTTGAATGAAAAAATGTCTGCTTGGTAGCAAATAGGCTGGCTTCACGGCTAGTTTGGCAACAATGTAACAGAGTGGAAATTCTAATTTCTAATTTATATTTTGAGCAGATCTCTTTATCAGGTCCATTTTGAGAATTACAAATAGGCAAGCCCCAAGCAAACTTATCACACGACAACTTAACCGACCTAAAAAGTAACTTTTTAGGTTTTATGTATGTCCTTCTAGGTGTGTATATGAGTTTCTTTAGTCTACTCTTTAGATAATTGTCAAACTTCTCACTTAATTTTTTATATGGCATCGGTTGCAAAAGTTTTGTTCGTATTCGCCCTAAAAATATGCCAAAATAAAACGATTTTTTTTTCAAAATTGCCGATAATATTTCATTTAATAAATTATATTAGTTCTCAGGAAGTCTGTCCAAAAATATTTGCTTCATCGCTACTGGAATTTTTCATGAATATGAATTTTATTTAATGAAAATTAACATAATTATGTTATTTTTTATATATTTTTGTAAATAAACAATAATCAAAACAAATTTAGTTAAAAATGAGTAATAAAGAACTTATAATTATGTCTAAGCAAATTTACGCGCTTACGATAGTTATTAACTACACACTTTTGCATTACGTGCCATTTCGACCAAGTTGCAATGACCGTGGTCACAGGCGTCCGTCAGCGTGATATACATAATTAAATTAATATATAGATATAGATAGAATAATATAGACGATCGGATGGCGTAGTGGTTTGTGTAACGGTCTGCTATTCCAAAGGTCGCGGGTTCGATACCCGCTCAAGTCAAAACTATTGTGTGCATGAACATTTAATGTTTGATTTGGTCAGGGTATTTCTATGTATAATATGTATGTATTTACAAAACAAAAGTTTATTTGTATTTATATCAGTTGTCTAGTACCCATAGTACAAGCTCTGCTTAGTTTGGGATTAGATGGCGTTGTGTGAATGTGGTAGAATATTATTACAATTATATTTCATGGAACGAGTTAGTTTAAAAATTAGAATGAAAAGTTTATCTCTTCTATACTAAACTAGAACTCCAAGTTAAATAAAAACGGTATATTACGAATCTTAAATTGACTTTTTCTTTTAATTAGGATGCTGTGTCAAATGATCCGGGAACTGTCAGCTGCTCCTCCGTTCTGCGTACCTAATTACCACAGAATCTTTGAAGATGCCTCGGTAAGTAGCTCTTATATGGTAAATATATTTTAACATTTAGCATTTCATTAAACATATATATTAATATATGTTTAATCAAATCAAAGTTTATTTGCTATGAATTTAGGTACATCAAATTACAGATGGAATAGTTTTCATTGAACCGTGTACATTCTGCCTTATAATTAAGCATGCAAAAATCTATAACATTAGGGTCGATACAAATTAAATTAAATCTGGAATGGATAAGTACAAAGTAAAAAAAAATGAAAAATTAATATTTTAGATGTCAATGGTCCGGTCAACAAACTAATCATCAATATAGTGTATGTCAATGCTCCAGAATTACCAAATTACAAGTCATAGGAATTATAAATTATGGTTACAAATTTGTATCTATTAAAGAAAACATTGATTGTGTAGTAATATTTGTCCACAAGCATGACTTCTTAATCCGTTATCACACTTAATCTAGAAGTTCAATCAAGGAATGTGAGCGTTAATATGGGTCGAAAAAATTTTTTCCCTTACCAAAGTGAATCTTAAGTGCTCCAAAATTTATAGTTTCCCTGACAGATTCCGAATACAGAGTGTCACCACCCCTATTCATCCCGTGGGTGTCTTAAGAGTCGATTAAGGGAAAAAACACGCAGGACAACAGCACTGCAAAGAGAAGAAAACTTGACACAAACCCTATACCAACACGTCTGTAGTAGGCCAAAACCTGCTTTCTAAGGAGAGGCCTATGTCCAGCAGTGGACTATTAAAGGCTTTTGATGTGATACGTAATTATTCTTATTTTTACATAGTATAAAACAAAGTCAATTTACTTGACAGTTCTACATCCGAGAACTTCTAAACCACGTAACGGATTTTAATGCTGCGGAATTCAGTTAGATTTATTTTGAAGGAAGGTTTTTAAATATCATAGAGCTCAATTAAGTTTTGACTTAAGTAACGAAACAATTTTTTTCAACTGAATCACCGAACAATTAATTTACATAGCTTGCGAAGGCTAAACTGAGTACGAAGCTAAGTGGGTTAGCTAGTTATCTACCTCTTTGTGTACAAGTTTCTTGAAATATTCTTTGAAACCGTTCCATTTGAAATATAAAAGAAAAATACCTTTCTTTGAATTTTTTCGTGGTAATTGTCCTATTACTAGCACCACCATTATGTGAGAGTTCTATATTGGTATTTAATGAGGATTTCTTGTTACCTTAATAATTACGGCTATTACGAAAAAATATAAATCACCTTATTATCCTACTTAACAGTAGGAGGGACTTAATTGGCTTAGATTTTTTTTGTTTGGTTTTGTTATGTAACACCATCGATATAACGGGCCCGTTGGCCTAGTGGTTAGTGAACCTGACTGCTAAGATGGAGGTCGTGGGTTCGATTGGCACCCAGGACAAATATTATGTGATGAGCACAGTCATTTGTTCTGTGTCTGGGTGTAATTTATCTATAACCAAAAGTCTTTTCAATCGGTGCGCATCCTGTAGTATCAATATATCTGAAATATGAAAATATTATTATTCTCTTTATTTCATTATAATATACATATAAATTACATTTTTATATGTTTTTATAAACTTTTTTTTTTATTATTATCTTATTTCTGTTATAAATACGAAAGTTCAAAAGGATGTTAGTTAATCAATCACGACAGAAAGGATGAACAAATCTGGATTTTTATACAGTGTATATTTTTTTTTATACAAATAGACATATTTATTCCAGAAAAATTGACTAATAATTGAGCGAAGCCGCGGGAATAGGCTAACTATTATATATTTATGATTTACATTAAAGCTTCTGCGGAGTTTCGTAGTGAACTAAAGGCGAGATAACTTTCGCATAAGACGCTTAGCCTAAATAAACTAGCAAGTTTGCACTAACATTAACTTAGGAAGACGTTAAAGTAACTATTGTAAGTTATGCGTGAAAACATCATGTAACTTACGTATATGAAAAAAGAAAATATCTCCTGCACCTCTTTTTAAACAAAAATTACGCTGGGAAGCTGTATTTAATTAATTAAAAAACTTTTATATTTCTGAGCTTCTGGAATATGTGCAGAAAGTGAATATTTTTAAATATTATAATAAGCGCTATAAACTTTAAAATGATGTTAAAACTGCTCTATATATTAGGGACTTGTAAATATATTGATATGTAAATAGTCCAAATTCTATACAATCATAGTTCAGGCTATTCTGGATAATGAAATAAAACGTGACATTTGGTAGTAATTCGATTTCCAAGCTGTTAGTTTAAATTATTTTATCTAATTCCACTAGTGTGCTGTGGGTCCGATCCCCACAAGGGACGTCACTTTGTGTGATTCACAAATTGTTGTTCTGAGTCTGGGTCTTCTTTGTGTCCGTTTCATGTATGTTTGTAAAGTCCCCTGGGACATAGGATTTATTCCAAGTGCGGGAGTTGTCTTTTTTAAAAAAGAAAAAGAAAAAAGATAGGAAAATATAAATATTTATCGGCATAAGTTTTAAAACGGTTATCCTTTTTCTAAGATGTTATTTGTTATATCAAGTTAATAATAAAATTTTGACACATCTCACACACGGCCGTCTAATCCATAACTATGCAGAGCCAGTACTATGGTAACCAGACTGCTGATAAACATATATAATATATATACGAGTACAATATTAAATTAATATTGTTAATATTTATTTATTTTTAATAATTTATCTAATAAGAGAGGAGACGTGGTGACGGATCAAGAATACGGAATGTCACCACCCCTATTCATCACGTGGGTGTCGTAAGAGTCGACTAAGGGAACAACCTATACAGGACACCAACACTGCAAAGAGAAGGAAAACTTGAAACAAATCCTATACCAACAGTAGGCCACACCCTCCTTTCTAAGGAGAGGCCTATGTCCAGCAGTGGACTGTTATAGGCTGTTGATGATAATGATGGTGATAATAAGAGTGGAATCATCAATTTTTTTAAAGGTATATGAGTCAAAAGAGTAGTCGGGTCACCTTATGGTGTAACTACCGTCACCTATGGACACCTGGTTTTGAATTAACTGGTGTTGATGGCCTCCGATCAGGCAAGTTGGTTAATCCTGGTGAACCACGGTTTGATGGTTAATGACGGGCAGTTGTGTGCATTATCAACTTACAACTACATATTAGAAATAATATACAAAAGAACGTGTGACAATTTTTGGGAATGCTTAAAATGTGGTTCTTAAATTTCTAACATAACTAGATTAATTTGTTTTAAATATAAACTTTTAGTGTTTAAAATTGCAAATCTGCCGTACGCGAAGCAAAAGCGGTACTCAGAATATTCTCTTCACGTTTTGATGTATAGATGTGTGCCCTTCTCGAAGTATTCAAAAACTCTGCAATGCATGCCGTAGTATTGGGCTTATATCACGTGAAGGTCCGTTACTTCTCGATACATCACGTAACTATGTGTTACGTAACACACAGTTACGTGATGTGTCGAGAAGTATCGGACCTTCATGTGACCCAACAATTCACCCACCACATGTAGGTCACGTAAACACATATTACAAATGTCTCATCATCATTTAGAATTTCCTAATCAGCATTACTAGCCTGTTACTAGCATTATAAGCCTATGTAACGCAGTGGACTATTAAAGGCTGTTGATGATATACATTTTAGTAATAATAATAATAAATGTCGATTTAGTGACCATTATTCCGAAAGTCGTATCTGCTCACGGATAGATAGCCAAGAGTCTCGACCAACACCTTAAGAGGCTCACGTTATATTGGTTGGGTTGCTGGATCACTGGATTACATAATTGAAAAAAAAAACAAGTGTTTGATGCAGAAGGCAGTTCTCCTTGACACCGCCCGTATAGTGAGGAGGTTAACTATTTTTGGAGTTCTAACTACCGGCGTCTTGGTCTCTGTATCCGACTGTGGTCTACTATTTTCATATTTTTCAATATTTATTTATTTGTGTAAGTGTGTGTTTAAAAATATAATTGATATGTATACAAAATAAATATAAAGAATAATAATAATATAATAAATAACACACCAGCAATAAACACCGGTTTTCTGTGAGGCAGTGGTAACGCTTCGGTCGAGCCGACCCATTTGTGGCCAAAAATGGCTTCATCAGGACGAGTGTTATATGTTAAGTTATGTAACAAATAGTGTTATATATTTAATTTAATCCCAACTAAATATATTTATCTTGTTTATAATGTTTTAAATATTTTCTAGAGGATAATGGGTTTTAGAAATATCTTCTTTTATAATCCACTCACTAATTTAGGAAGCAGGATAGTGATAAACAAAAAAGAAAACTCAAAAAATAAAAACCCTTTTACCTTTTGAGGTAGTTCTGAAAAGGTTCAACAAACGCAAACAATTATTTTGTCGTTGTTCAATTTAAATATTAATAGTTGGAACAGATAAATGTTTCCAAAAGTCTGCTTGGACAAGAATAGATTGGACAGAACAATTTTTTTTTATTGTAAAACACAAAAATTTTTCAATATCTTGTACAATTATAGCGAGTAAAAAACCACCAAGGTTTATATTTGTGCTTTTATTTTTTTCTTTGAAATACTGTTACATAATTCTAAGGGGAATGTTATTAATAAGTCGAGGGCACAATATAAATTTATACACATATAAGCTTATTCAATACTATTACATGTGTGTTTATAAAAGCTTATGATAGCGTATTACTAGGTTAAAGATTACATTAATGATACATCTGATATTGAATAGAAATCTAGAAATAAGTATATTTTATTGTACTTCAACAAATATCTAACAAAATATCGGTATCAATAAATATTTATGATAATAAAGCTTAGTTAGGGAAAAAGAAAAACCAAAAGTTTGTCCTGGATAAAAGAGAATAAAAATACGGAAATTTTATTTGAATAGTAAAAGGTTTTCATGAAGTATAAACTAACATAAACAGAACAATTTAGAAATATTTTTTTTAAATAGTCCTGTTTACTGTAGTAATTATAGGCATTTATTGTTAGTGAAGATGTTTATGATGCTGAAAAATATATTTTTCTTTTTAGTAGGGGAAGTTTCCTGTCTTTGTTTGCCCGATTTCTTCTTACAATGTTTGCGCGTTTATATATTGACAGAAGAAGATATAGAATTTTCTGTTGTAAATTTCTTTTACCTTATTAAATTTATATTGATAAAACAACCTGCTGTTGCAGTTCATAGAAGGATTTTGAAAAGTTGGTGCGTGAAGGAGTTTGAATTTGCTTCTTTATTGCAGATGTTCTATTATATTAATGTTCTGGGACATACTTCAAGTTACCTAGACCCATGCTGAGCACAGCTTGGCGTCGTCTACAAAAGAAGGATACATAAATCAATGTAAATATACAAATACAGACATATATATGGGGCTATAAATAGAGTCTTGCTCTGATGACAACTGCCTACTATCTACGTCTGATAGTTTACTATTTTTTTTTATCTCAATAAAGAGGAAGCCATTAGTAAAACTGACTTTACCTTACTAAGTTTTTCCTAACTTATTTATGATATAGGGTCAAACGAACAGACGGGCTCATCTGATGGTAAGTGACTACCCTCACCCATGGACATCTGCAAGTCAAGTTCATTGCAGTGCCTCCCTTTCAGTTATTCCCCCAGAATCAGAGGGAGGGGGAGGGTTATGGCTCCAGTAACCTCACGCGGTGGAAAGCAATGACAGAACTGCTTAACACCGGTTTTCTGTGAAGCCGTAGTATCACCCGGTCGAGCCTGGCCTATATAGGTCTAAGCATGGCTTTCTTACGACAGCTTTTATTGAAAAAGCCTGTTTAAAGAACTCCTGATGGCCAATTCTCGTAATAAAGTTTCAGTCTCAATTCAGTTCCGATCAACTCTCGATCTTATTATTTACTTATTAAAGTATTATTAAGACTAGCAGATTACCAATTCAATTTTTGGTTACAATATGATATAATCACATTAGACTGTCAGTTTTGAAGAGGCCGTTGTCTGTCACTGAAACTCATCATCAGATCTATATCACATTTAAATGGAACCATTGCGAAATAAACCCCTTTCAAACAAAAAAAGAATTTTGAGAATCCGTCTATATATGATGAAGTTATGCCCGAACATATTCAACTAGAAGCCTCAATAATGTGTGTGAACAATTTGGAATTGATATTTTTAATGTTAGTGTAACGGGAGCGAGGAGGTGTTTAAGCCTTAAATCCTTAGTTTTTATTGTGTTCATCATAGCTGTAAATCCTCCATAGTTGTAATAAATAAATAAATAAATATGTACATAAAAAAAATGAAAATCCGAATTGAAAACCAAATTTAACCTTTAAATCTTCCTTTTTGAAGTCGGGTACAAACCGAATGCGTTCGTGACATATATTTGCTAAATGCCATTTAAATTTCTTACTTATTCAGATGAATTCTTGAAAAGTTCATATTTCCTGGATATTTTCCTTTGCAATAGAAATTTCGTTTAGATATGAACACTGTATAAGTCACTATAACGCAATGTCTGTTGCAAAGGAAAATATTCAAAAAATATGAACATTTTCAAGAATGAATTATATTAATTTTTCCTCCGACTCGATTCATTTTGGTATTTTATACATTTAAAACATATCTAACTATCTACTATGTATATGCATTCCACATATCAGGTCTTTACCTACGAAATTGCCGTTTTGTATGCAATAAGTGAAAGTACTTATTTTTTCAAACTTTTTTATTTCTGTTATTCGAAGTAATCGCCCATGCAATCGACGCATCTTTGCCAACGCATTGGCAGTTTATTGATGCCCTATTGATGAAATGTTTTACTAAACCCCTCTCCCCCCCCCACATTTGTGGGAGAAAGGGGAAATCAAAAGGTGTCAATGCACTTATGAGTATAAAGCAGCGATAGTTAAAAGTATTAATTAAAGCGTGAAATTGAGGTTTAAAGAAATTGTTCAATTTACTAAAAGTAGCTTACCTGAACTGATATGTCCAAAACTAAATTAACTTCGTCCTACCTAAGGTAAGATTGTCTAAAGTGGCAGGGTACTATGCGTCCTAGAATTCAAATTTGTTTTCAAGTACGGTTACGGTACGAAAACTGGTATAAACTTTATTTAAGTGAGTCAATGTCTGTGATTTAGACTTAGCGTATATTTTCTGAACACAGGTTTATTAATATAAATCCAAATTGTTTTACATAGATTTCAACATTTTTTAAAGCCATTTTAGTGTCTTTACCATGATAGACAGCCTTTAGTAATCCACTGTTGGATATAGGCCTCTCCTTAGAAGGGAGGTTTCAGCCGACTATACCACGCTAACCAGAGGGTATAGGGTATAGGGTTTATTTTAAGCTTGCCTTCTCTATGCAGTGCTGTTGTTTTGCAGGGTTTGCTCCCTTAGTCGGCTCTTACGACTACCACGGGATGAATAGGGGTGGTGACACTGCGTATTTTTAATCCGTCACCTCAAAGACATCGTCTACACACGGACGCGCTGATAATATTATTACTTATATGTATATATATATCTATATATACGAGTATGAGTATAAGTAATGATATCGTTATTCTAAGTCACACAATTCTCACCCAACTTGCTATAACTGTCACCAAAAAAAGCGTATGGGAGGTGCTGTGTATTTTCTATCGCTATATAAAAATGTGTCTACAGTTTAGAATAAAAAACTTCTTTTTTAAACAGGTACCGATAGAAGCAGCCCATCTGTACGACGCGGTCACTCTGTGGGCCCGGGCGGTGACCGCAGCTATTCGCTCTGGTATCCCGCCAACAGATGGCGCCGCACTCATGAAGCTCCTCAGACCTACAACCTACAGATCTGTTCAAGGATTTGACGTGAGTTCACCCTTTATCATATTAATAGTTATAACTAAAAACCAACCTATTCTTATACTGAATGCTGATTTAGGCAATGCAAGATGTCACTGTTTTGTTACTTTTAGATGTTATCACAGACTAAACTAACAATGTGCGTCTGGGGACGGATTATGACTACTGAGTGTCACCACCCATATTCACCCCGTGGGTGTCGTAAGAGCTGGCTAAGGGAGCAAATTATGCAGGATAACAGCTCTGCAAAGAAAAGAAAAACTTGAAACAAACCCTATACAAACCCGTCTGGGCATATTGATATAATAGGCCAAAACCTCCTTTCTAAGGAGAGGCCTATGTCCAGCAGCGGACTATTAAAGGCTGTTGATGATGATATATTGTAACTAATAATAAAGTCAGTATTGCAGATCCTATACTATTAGTCGTTTATTTTTCCATAAACTGTAACATTACTATTTATTGCTGTCTTGTCCTAATAGAATCTCCAAACACAGGACGGCTATACGTACAAGATCACGGCCTCTTCGAACTACTGCAGTCTCCGTCCGTTTACCTTCCGAGCCTTGTGTAGCCCTTGACCTAGCATCCTTAAGCTTTACTTTAAAGAGACGGCATCGGAAATTCTTTGCCATGCTAGACATTGCGTAAACTCCAAAATTTGGTAAAAGTCCAGAAAGATAGCAATTTTGACTTAAAATTTATATCACCAAACTATATATTATTTAAATATTACTAAGTAGTAAGCTTTCAAGTACAGCTTCGCACAGATTACTATTGTTATTTCTAATCCCTTGAAAACATATTTATTTTCTTGATAAAATGGTTTGTTGACGGTTTTCTACATTTTTTCCCTTCACTATTTTATGATGATGGGTTGATACGTAAAAGTTTAATAGACAAACAAAATAACACTCAAATTTGCGTTAAAATATTAATAGGAACCATTACAATTTCAACTACGTATCTTCTTACAAGTTAACAACGGTTGTTCAAAATCATATCTCAGTACAAATTTATTTTGTATTGTTGCGAAATCTCCTAAAAACTTTGTTTACGTCAGGCCGTCTATTTTCGGCCTTATTGTTTTGACTATTTAAGATATCTGGCTTATAAACATAGGATATCTTATCTTTTGTTTACCTCCGCCTACATAAAAAAAAACTTCCAGTATTTCAAAAGACAGTACCTGTCCTTTCACATTCTTATATTAAACCCTAAATTTCATCTGTAGCGCTTCGCTAACGTTTATATACTTTTGTCAATGAATTTACTATCCGTTGGGGATACACAATCTCTTTGATAAAAGGTAAAAGGTTCAAAAGCGTAACAAAAAAAACGAAAACCTTAGCATTATTAATATTAGTGATTCAATAGCTTTTTTTGTTTATCTAAATAAACTGGTAGATATGTAATATTGCTATAAAATTAGTCACGTTCTTGACTTCGTTTTCACTGAATTACCAACCTTTTTTTTTTTTTTTTTTTTTTTTTTGTTGACGGGGTGGAAAATCCCTTCGGATCTCCGGCTCCTCGGGGACTCTCAGGAGCCAGGAGTATGTGGTGATTCCACTAAAAACCACCCCGACGGCCGGCCTTAGGTGTCCTACTCTGGGGAGGACCCGGACCATGTTATTTCAGGTCCTCCCCGAATTGACACCATGCCTTATCAGGCCCTATCCCAGGGTAGAACACTTCCCCCTTCAATCACGGCATGGCGGCCCGATCGCATCTCAATGCAATCAGGCCAGCCATTCCATTCCCTACCGCAGCAATCAATCTGCCACCAGAGGTCCCCACTCTCTGGCGGCCCGCGGCCCCGTCGATGGCTGATATCGCCGCCGACGTCTTCTACGTTCGGGATCGGCCCTCTCCCGATCCCGTTCAGCGGTCTCTTTCTGGAGCATTACAGCTTCACAGAAAGAGACCACTGCGACCCAGCCCTCCTCACCCGCCAGCATGGCAGCAATGATTACTGGCGGGGACAGGTCTCGTCCGATTTGGTCGACCAGGACCTTGCGTTCAGACGCCCACGAGGGGCAGTCTTCCAGCGTATGCTGGGCGGAGTCCCAGTCGGCTGCGCAGTGCTGGCATTGTGCCGTCTCCTCGCGTCCAATCCGATTCAGGTACTCCCCGAAGCAACCATGCCCAGTGAGTACCTGCGTCAGTCGGTATGTGACGCAACCTCCCTCCCTACCTACCCAAGCTTCGAGGTTAGGCAGAACGGCACCGACAGCGCGTTGGCGCGCATTCCGCGGCTGCTCCAGTCGTGCGCGCCACTGCACCAGTGCCTGTCGGTGGGCGTTCCGCCGCATTTCGAGCTCATCCTGGTCTTCCCCACCCTCACCCCGGACTGAATTACCAACCTAGATCGTGATAACGTATATACCATCCTGAATACCTATATATAGCAAGTATATGGATCGCTCTGCAGGCAGTGAGTGCAGAGCGAGAGAAATAGTGACTAACGCTTTTCTTCATATTGTACGCTTTTTCTCATGAAATCTCTCGCCACAGCGTACCATAAGGAACTTCGTTCCAATATTCCTAAACAACGTTTATTAATGAACTAATATAATAATATTTTCCGACATCTCACACACAACAGAACTTGTACTATGAAAGCTAGATTGAAATAAGATAACGTCGTCATCATGTATTTTGCCAGAGATCCATTATTACTCTTTTACTCCTTACTGTTTCTAATTAGCAAAATTCAGTTGGAAATGTACACAAACACAAAAATACACTTTGTGATGCATTTGTTTCAACAGACGGAAATTTGTTTAACTTTGCTTTACACAAATAGAACATTTAAAATTATACACAAAATCATCTATGATACTTAGAGTTGAATTCCAAAATGTAACAATAGAGGGCACCACTGAGTGACATTGATTTATAAATCGCGGTTATAAGATTTTCCAAACATCAATATGTGAAATCAGGTTCAGTCTGTGTGCATTGTGCAATATCAATTACTGTGTAGTGTCTGCGGTATGTGGCTTATTCGATCCGCCTGTTTATTGGTTTCCCCATTTAGAAGCACTGAGTGGAATGATGTCTCTGTAATATCCTTTTCTTCAAAGGAGATATTCAGATTGAATGACTTTATTTTATAATATTGTAAACAATTATTTTATTAAAATGCTGCTCTGTTGGTCTGGTCGATAGCGACCCTGATTACTTAGCCAGAGGTCGTGAGTTCGATTTCCACCCAAGAAAAATATAGTGTGACGCGTACAATCATTTGTTTTGTATCCGGGTGCTATTTATCTATCAACAGCCTATACTAGTCCACTGCTGGACATAGGCCTCTCCTTAGAAAGGAGGTTTTGGCCTACTATACCACGCTGGCTATTTATCTATAAGATGTAGATATTTAAAAAAACATATACGTGTCATTGGAGAATTATTATCAGTAGATAAATACACATATTTATGTTAAAATGATAATCTACGACGAAGTACAATAATTCATTGCTTAGTATAAACTGGAAGATAAATATTTCCTCAAGTTCTCTCGAACATTTTGTCCAGGATGTTATTACATTATTGTTTGCAATTCAAATGTGCTACGCAGTAGCTCGGGTCTTGACGTCACTGCTACACGCCGCGCTACGGACTCGTAGCCTGTGTAGACAGTTATATTATAATCACTTTCTTCTTATTTGTCAGAACGGGATGTTATGAATGAAATTTTTTGGGAATGCTGTTGAGAAATATATACGCTTCGCTTTTTTTCTGTATAAAAAGTTCTAGATTATTATTATTATTATTATTTCTAGCTTTTATTATCTGTCATAGTGGGGCGCGTTAGTTAATGACCAAATTATATTTATGTACGAAATGGCATATTTATGATATATCATATAAGTAACTTATAATTTAATGTTGCATATTTAATCAATTTTCATGCATACGTTGCGTATGTTTGATGCTATATCTAGCTTTTTAAATTGCATATAATCTGGTTAAAATCACAATCAAAATTCAACTAATCTCTTAAAATAAAATATCAAAATTCCACCAAGCGCTTGCTTTAAGAGAAAAATTACGATAATTACCAAACATGTATTATGTTTACTCAAGCGCCCTACGTCTAATACCGACTTATTTGAAAGTTTTTATCGGAAAATGTTAATATAACGTGGATTTCAAATATTTTTGTCGGATTCCTAAAACTGTTTATTAAATTTAGTGTTTATGGAAGTCTGTGTGACTAAGTAGTTAATACTTTTAATATTTTCACTGGACATGTATTCTACTTTATTGAATATTTGTCATTCTTGTTTTGCGAACATGCATTCGTGTTTTTATTTCTTCTACTCCTGAATGACTCCACCTATATATGTATATTTTACCCATTTTTTGTACTTAGAGGATGTCTTGGCTCTTTAGCCGGATTGCCAACTCTCCTGACTTCAATGTGGACGATATTCAGATGATTTTTTTTCATTTAAAACCGATTTTCTGTGAAGCCGTGGTACCTATCACTCTGAACAAGACGAGCCTTATATGCCGAAGCATGTCTCTGCAATGATAGATAAATTATACAATACAATATTATCAATTCACTTATTAGTTAATAGGATAGTTTCTTATTCAGGACAATTGCCTGCTTACCATAAAAGCCGTAAAATATCGGAAATACGTAAAATTTACATGTCAAAAGCATTCAGTTTTAGCACGTTTCATGGGATTATTTAATTCTGTTCCTGAATTGTATGTTTTGAATGAGAAAAGTCGATAGTAAATATGAGTAGGTATGTCAAGAATACATTCAATTCATATTTTGTCTGCATGGATAACGTAGTGGTGTAAATGGCCATCTTCCTACTGTTCTGAGTGTCGTGGATTTGATCCCCATATGGGACTACACTTTGTGTGATCCACAAATTGTTGTTCTAAGTCTGGGTGTTCTTTGTGTCCATTTCATAAATGTCTGTAAAGTCCCTCGCGACGCAAGATAAATATTCCTAGTGCGGAAAATATTTCTAATTAGA